GTCCTTTTACTGTCTTTTGGGGAACATATTCTAAATGAAATTTTGATAAGGCTAGTATCCATTTGCCAATTCTTCCCCTCAACATAGGTCTAGATAACATATATTTAACCAAATCTGTGGTTACAATTACCAAGACAGTTGTAGGCAAAATGTAATATTTCGGAGTAGGATCTGGCAAATTCCTGGGCTTCCTTGTGACCAACCGAGGTATAGAAGCAGATCCCTCTCAGATCAAAGCAATCCAGGATTTGGAGAGACCAAACTCAGTAAAAGAAGTACAGCATCTTATCGGCATGGCGGCCGCGCTCAATCGGTTCATAAGCCGATCGTCAGACAGACTACGACCATTCTTTCAAGCTTTAAAAGCCAAGTTCGAATGGGACGAAGAATGCGACCAAGCACTGGAAAGCCTGAAACAATACATGTCCTCTCCACCATTGCTGGTCACCCCAATACCAGGAGAAGAACTCTTCCTATACCTTGCAGTCTCTCAGCACGCAATTAGCGCAGTGTTGGTCCGTGCGGAAGGAATTCAACATCTGCCCATCTATTATGTCAGCAAGACATTGCTAGGGGCCGAAACAAGGTACTTGCCCTTGGAAAAATTAGCATTGGCCTTAATGATGGCCTCCAAGAAATTGGCACACTACTTTCATGCCCATACCATAGTCGTCCTCACAGTTTTTCCACTAAAAGCTTTGTTTGAGAGGGCGAACTTTAGTGGGCGAATCTTGAAGTGGGCAGTAGAGTTGGGACAATTCGACATCAAGTTCCAACCCAGAACCGCAATAAAGGCCCAATCTTTGGCAGACTTCGTTGCAGAGTTTACTCATGGTAGTCATCATATCTGCCCAGTCGACCTATCTAACACAACCGAACTAGGGATGGAAGTTGATGCTGGAATAGCGCAACCCCTAGCAGAAAGCACTCGGTTAGACTCCAAGGCAGACCAAACTAAAGACAGCAAGGAAGAAACAAACCAAGACTCACCAACAGTACAATCAGATGGCGAAGGGAAGATAGCAAGCATGGACCTTGAAGAAAGCACTAGCAACATTCTTGACCCCACGACATCATCTGACCCCTCCACTTGCTGGAAGTTGTTCGTTGGTGAGATGTGGAAGCTCTTTGTGGATAGAGCATCCAACCGGCATGGTGCAGGACTTGGCATAGTCCTCATCTCACCAGACGGCCTGGTTGTGGAGCAAGCAATCAACCTTGGCTTCCCAGCATCAAACAACGAAGCGGAGTATGAAGCGCTTCTCGCAGGACTCAAATCAGCATACTACATGAAGGCCACCGAACTAATGGTATACAGCGACTCACAGCTGGTGGTAAACCAAATTTCTGGCAACTATGTAGCAAAGGATGATAGGATGGCCAAATACCAAGAATTGGTCAGAACAGAGATCAAGAAGTTTGATGTAATGAGGATAGAACAAATCGGCAGGGAGGAAAACAGTAGAGCGGACGAACTAGCAGGCTTCGCCTCAATGGCAGATACCTCCATACCTCATCCACTACTGATCGACTACCTACCTAGACCAAGCATAGAAGACCCCGAAGCAGAAGAGGTATGTTGTGCAGAACTAGGCCCCTCTTGGATGGATCCCATCATCCTGTTCTTAAAAGACGGCATCCTACCAGA